TAACAAAATTACGAAAGTAAGGACAAATGATGTTTGACAGGGAACACATCTCAAGGTCGCACAGACTCATGTTGCAGTTGGAGCAGTCAGCGCCGAACAACAGGCAAATAAAATATTAAGCTAATTAAAGTTACAAAAGTTCAGTGAGTGATTTTCTTTTTCTTTTGTTCTTTGATCAACATTAATGGTGGCAGCGAGTATAGGCTGTCAGTGGACTGATTCAATGGACACTACCGTTTTACTTTCTCAACCGTTAAGACAAACCCGGCTGTGTTTACGGGGATAAACTTGAAAAGAGGTGTGTAACCTACCTAAGTCTTTCCACGGTTGAAACAATAATTCTTCTGATGTTTATTCATGTTTATTTGATGCTATAAATTAACTAGAAGTATAATTGTGAGATATAATTCTGTGTATTTGTCCGTGCACTATGTGAGAGGCTCTTTGCGCTGTTTGCGTGAGTGCGCAGCTCAGAAAACAGCGCGCATGCAGACGTGTTCTCTTTCGTCTTGCGCTTTAAGAATGCTATCAAGAATCGATTTTCTATTCTTAATCCTACTAACTAGCCTATAAAAAAATATTGCATTCATCTTATTGCATGGTGATGTGAATAAATATGTTTAACTATAGGGCTATGTGAAATATAAGCCTATGTCATTTTTTGATATTGACGATTATCGTCTGGAAACAGACTGTTAAATCGACATCGCGATACTTGCGAGACATCGTCGATATAGGAGAATATCGTCATATCGCCCAGCCCTAGAGCAGACTGAAAGAGGAGGGAGCTAGTAAAGTAGCTAAAGTAAAAAGTTAAGATTAAACTAAATGCGGCGGTGGTTGGGACAGACTTCTGGGTTTAAATTTAAATGTCGTTTAACGAGAGATAGCCTACGTTATTTTTTTTAAGTTTAAGGTTTTTGTCATTATTTCTTACAAGCTTATACATTAGGCAATAGCTGGGTTTCAGTCACGTGATTATGATGACGCGCGAAATTCAGATGAGGGCAGGGAGTGAAGAGCGCAATGGACGAGATGGAGGAAAGTCCGTACTGTACTACTTTACACGCTATTACAAGAGAAAGATATAAACAAAAAATCAAACATATGTTGGACGTGATCCTTACGTTATGAAGAGGAGCGATTTTCAACTGAATTGAAAGATTTTCCTGCCATCGAGGCGGTAGATATCAGCAACTACCTCGTCTTACAGACATACTTTGACTTTACAAAGTTCGGAAACGTTACACATTACACAAACATAGCCACTTAAGTTGTATTAACTCACATTTGATGAAGTGATCCCTGCACACACGGGCATTTTCCCATTCGGCTCCTCCCGACCGCAGACGTAGGTTTGCAAGCCGTTTTCCCGGAGTTTTCCGGTCAATTTCTTGCATTTTCCCCCCTTATGAACAACAACTTTTGGTACACGATAAAACCTCCTCGTGGTTTGATCAATTTAAGTAACCATAAACGACGCAAGACATGCATTTTGAGTTTGTTATAGTGCTTTCTAAATACAGCAAATCACTTCCTGCCCTCCATTTGCATTTCGCGCCATGGCAACGCAGTGGCGTGACGTCATATGAAAACAGGCTATAGCCTATACACAACAAGCTTACTATATATCTTAAGGTTTTCTTTTAGTTGAAAACATTAAACAATATGTGTAAACAAAATATATAAACAACAAAAGCATTTAAGCTCAGGCAGCGCAAACGGAAAAAAAAAAAAAAAAAAAAAAAGCAGACTGCGCAGTTATCGTACAGAACGTAGCCTACATACTCGAGTCAGCATATCATTATCGTGTTTATATTGTTTCACGTTCATGTTGAGAAAAACAATAATATCCACATGCTCGAGTGAGAAAACGCGCTGCGCTGACACACAGGCGTTGCAGAGACGCGCGCGCGCGTGTGTGTGCAAAGTGAAGTAACAGCACTTTGCGTTTTCTGTTCTTAAACCTGTCTCCCTCAACGAAACTTAAAGGAAGCATATGTCAAAATCATTTTGCTACCAGAAGATATCGGGGTACAGCTGGTGACCTGCAGTCGTTAATGCAGTGATGGACAGCTGCTTCCTCTGTCGACTGCTGTTTCTTTGGATTTCGTGTGATTTCTCATTGTGGTGGTGATATTATGATAATAATAATAATTAATAATTGATTAAACGTAATTCCATTTTGTAATAGGCTATCATTTTCATCTAAGTAATTCCAAACTTCGCGAGGCAGACAAGGACATTATGTGATCAAAAACACAATCCACTGGGCTCCACCCAGTGCATTTGATTATAACTGCGAAAAAAAATTGAAGAAAAAAAGTATTAGTATTAGTATTTTATTTTTTTAATAATAATTACAGAGCGAAAATTCGAATATTCGTGCACATCCCTAATAGAGATAGATCCCAAACTTGAAATGAAATGTTTGCACTTTCTGTCTTGTTTTGTACTTTATATGTGTTTTTCATGCCAACAATGTTAATAAAATTATCAAATGCATTCAGTGGCACTCATAATTTCTCTTATTTTCACCGGAAAAAATTTGGCTAGTGGAAATTCTAAATGGCTGGTAACTTTAGAAAGTTACCAGCCACATTGGCTGGTGATCAAAAAAGTTAATTTAGAACCCTGAATACAATGAGCTTCTTCACGGTTTAGTGACATCACTAACCCTAAAATTTACATAAATCCCGCCCCCGGGAACACGATTTATTAGCCTTGCTTGAGATGAGCAAAATCTGCGCAGAACCGATCACCGGTTAGAAATGTGTCCGAGTGCGGTCCGACTTGCTCTGATGTCATGCTGACGTACGTCAAAAAACTCTCGCGATCGCAAGGCGGACGAGTCGGATTCTGCAGTCGCTGATCAAAAGCATGATGGGAAATGACTTCCTGATGACACTTAATACTCTTACACTTAATACAATGAGCTTAATACTCATTGGTTTAAACAACTGTGATGCATTGTTCTTTTTTAAAATGTTTGATTTATTTGATTGTAACTCTATATGGGTTATGTGATGTCATTTTTATAAAAAATAAATAAATAAAAACCAGGGCTGCCCAACTATTGAGGTTTTTTGTGGTTGGGGGGTTGAAACACGATATCAGACATTTAAATTCAAACATTTTAAAAGAGAACAATACATCACTTAAACCAATGAGCATTAAGCTGTGTTGTCAGCAAATCGTTTACCATTGTGCTTTTGATCAGCGCAGTCGGTGGAGCAACTGCGCTTGACTGCAGAATCAGACACAGCAAGTCGGACCACACTCGGGCTGCGTTCCTGTCCACTTTTAGACAGCACTTGCGAACTTTCCTAGCACTTCCCCTCGGGGGAATCCCTGCCGCCATTCTGAAGTGCGTTCCACTTCCTGAAGTGGACGAGGGAAGTTTAGGTGTGTTCGACATCGGCTGTGGCTGGATGTAACCGATCGGCGAGAGTAGCCGCGTGCAGGCGGGGAGGAGCTGCAAATGGAGACGTGAAGTCGGACACTTTCTGGTTCCCGTAGTGACAGCTCACGTGGTGTTTGTATACTTTACCACAGCTGAAGTGAAATAAATGCAATATTTGCCAAATACACAGATGTTTCAGAGACATTTTCATTCAATACTTTATGTACTGCTTCATACAGCGTTTGTTTGAACAAGAATAAGTTCAACATAAGCCTACAGCTACTATCAATGAAGTGGAATCAACGTTTTTTAATCAGTTTTATTTTGATAAACATAACACAATACATCGCGACTACATGAAAAGAGTGTTTACTGTTATAAAAAAAATGATTTGTGAGCTTTAGTGGAACTAAAGGTGTGAGAATAAACCGAATAAACACGAAACGCACGTGATCGTTGTCATGCGGTGAATCCGGCCAATCGTGGAACAGCTGTGTCATCATCAGAGCTCGTGCAGCCCAGAGCAGCCGCTCTTCAGAAGCTGCGCTGGCTGAGTTCTTCGGCTACTCTCGAATCGCTCTCGCGGTACTTTGATGGCATACGTCACAGTCACGTGGCGTCGGCGCTGTATCAAGTCGGACAAAATTTCTAACCGGCATGCACTGCTTCAAGTCTGCCGCCGATCGGTCTGCGCAGAGCTGCATGAAGTCGAACAAGCCTTTTATGTACAGCCCCTCGCACATCAGCTACATAAAATTCATCAACTAACCGTTCAGAAATGTCCTGTTGCATTCTACATGTTGTCAATTCTTCTTGAGTCTCTTCATCTTTGTCTGACTGCGCTTTAAACATAAAAGGCTAAAAGGTTTTGACATTTTCAGTGCGTGTCTGTGAGGTAATCGGAGCTGCTCTTGAAGCTCCACCCTCTGTGCCGGGAGCAGCAGCTCATTTGCATTTAAAGGGACACAAAAACGGTGCCGGTTTTTGGTCACCCTCAAAAAGTGACAATTTTAATATACTATAAAAAATATCTGTGGGGTGTTTTGAGCTAAAACTTCACATACACACTCTAGGGACATCAGAGACTTATTTTACATATTGTGAAAAGGGCATTAGGATCCCTTTAACATTTAATACAATAGTACTACATACTAGCACTACCATGATTAACAAGCACACTTTAGGTATATAGCAGCTCATTTGAATTTCATGAATAGATTTTTGTGCACATACTTCAAAATGAGGAAGTAGTAAGAGTAATATGCTATGCTATTCCAAAATGCTGGTATAAAGATGATCTCTTGAGAAAATAATGTTAAGTAGCCTACATCATAAGAGTAAGGAAGAAATACTGTAACATGCTTTAGATGTTACAGCATTTTTAAAAATGGGCTTACATTATTGTTTTAATTTCATAGCATTACATGTGCTCAATGACATGCCTTCAGTCAGAGTGTTGCTCTCCACGTGCGTACTATCAGTCACAGCTGACTTTCTGAAGCTGCTGGGTAATGTAGTTTTTAGCGAAAGAAAATAGCCGAAGAGAGTAACGGTAAAACTACAAAGACCCACAATGCCTTTCGCTGAATGAGAGGTGTCTAGCGGCGTGGTGGTGGCCAGACCGGCCGGTGCGCAAGGAAAGTTACTGCAGGGGAACCATGCGACCGGCAGAAACGGCATTTTACCATTTTAACCGCGGCAATCACATTGACAGGGTTACACTGTGATTTGAACTGAAGTAAGGCGTGTTGCTTTTCTGTTGTCATTACACATTTACCGTGTTATCGCTGGTAATTCAGCTTCTAAATGTCTGCCAGCAGGCAATAGGAAATGAGTGTGGACACCACACTGAGGCATGCGGGAATCTGAGATCAGTCAGTCTTGACCACATGATACGGTTTTAATCTCATAGGGTTTGTTCTGATGCAACTGAGGTCAACTTGAACTCAGTCACGTGACACATCATCTTTATATGGACGTGTATGTGACATGCAACCGTATACATGACTTGATCTTACCACAGTGATCTGACGAGGATGCGAAGAGCAAGAATTAGTATTAAGCCTAATGTCAGGCCAGGGGGTCGAGGTGTGGCGCCAGGTGCAGAGGACAAGAGTTCCCAAAAGTCCACAGCTGTTGACGACACCCAGCAAACACCGTCACCTCCACAGTCTCAGCTGGACGTGAGAGAGTCTGCTGTGGCGACAGGAGATGGACATGTTCCCGGCTCTCCCTCAGAGAAAGCATCACTTAACACGTAAGCAGCACACCCCTGAAAGCATCCAGATAATTTACAAAAATATTATTTTCTCCTTCGAACCATTTTAAGGAAGTTTAAAATAAATAAAAAACCTTGCTTTAAAAAATGTATAGGCTACGTTGGGGTGAATTTGCACAATCTTCTACCTGTAAACGGCTTATACCTGCATATGTTCATTAAATTGAACAAATCTACCATTCAAAAGTAGCAATGTTGTGTATTTTTGCCTGCTTAAACTGTGCTGCTTCTGTTTAGTGATTAAAACTACTGTTATGTAGTGAATATTTAAAAAAGGCTTTTATTTAATTGGTTAAAGCAATGTTACAGTGGAGTTTTGAGGGTTAAGCTGCTCTTAAAATGAAAATTCTGTCTTCATTTAATCACTCTCAAGTTGTTGACTGAAGTCAATGGTGCCAAAGTTCCAATCGCTCTTCAAAATATCTTCCTTTGTGTTCATCAGAAGAAAGAAACTCATACAGGTTTGCAACAACTTGAGGGTGAGTAAATGATGACAGAATTTTCATTTTTGGGAGTATCCCTTTAAGCCACTTTAGCTAAATCATACCTGTACAGAATCCAGAATTATTTAAATATACAGCAGGACTTTAATAGCATGGATATTGTGCTGTCTGATGTCAGTGTTGTCATTGTTGACAATGTCCATTAAAAATAGCGTCTGCTGATTTAAAATAAAAATATTAAACGAAAATCTTTCCTTGACTACTAAAGTAAGTTTAAGTTGAATTAAAAGTACTAAAACTAAACTGAAATAAAAAATAAATTAAAGCTAAAAAAGCTGAAAAATATTAATTAATACCATAAGAATATATAGTTATGAAATAGCACTGTCTGATGTTTATCTTATTCTGTTAATGCTTATTCTGTTAATTCAGTTAATCCTTATTCTTCTGTTCTGTTTTTTTTTTCAATTTCATCATAATCCTTGACTCATCTTTCTATTTTTCTTATTATAATCTAGATTTATCTTGCTGTGTTTCTTACTATTGCGTTGGTGCGCAATATGAATGTGAACTTTGAGATTTCAGATATTTATTAGCTAGCTACTTTGAATGAGGGAAAAAAGACAACTGTCAGCCAAGCACAATAATGTAAATATGTGGAAGAGGGTTTTTTTTTTTGCCTCTTCTGTAGTGTCCTATTTGAATTAACATGACTGCCTAAACTACACTAAAAGGTAGTTAAATTGCAGCTCTGCTTGAGTCTGATTTGATCAAACTTGAGATTCAAAAGCTTCTCAAAGTTTTTTTTTGATTGACAGTAATGATGGAGCGCCATCTAGCGCCAACACACCTGCAACTACAGGACTTCAGAGGAGGAGTAGATTATCTGCCACACCAAACCTGGCCAGACCCAAAGTCCGCTCTGCTCCTCCTTCATCTACTGGAAAGACTGCTTCCCTTCTATCAGGGCCATCCAAGACATCATCTCCTGTCCAGGCAGCCTTTCCTCAGTCACCCGTCCCAGTTGCTATCAGCAGAGACGATTCTCAAAACTCCTCATTCTCCGATGCCACTACAGAAGCCAACTGCCCTCCATCCTCACCATGTCTTCCATCCACCTCTGGCTGTCCAGAATCTCCATCATCTCCACCGTCTCAACAAGAGCCCCGTCAAACCCCTAAAAAAATCCCAAACGAAGATTTTGGGCCCCAAGAAGGAGCCACTCCAGCTTCATGCACACTCTCACCGTATGTGAAGCTGTCACGTGTTGATGGACCAGACTCTCCCCTCAGGAACAAAATATCCTCAGACAAGCAGCGGGTCTTGAGAGCCCTCAAATTGAAAGAACTGATGAAGCTGGAGAAGAGGAAAGAGAGAACGGTAAAGTCAATATTAAATCAATTAAACACATTTGGACCGGAGAAATGTCACATTTAAGCTTTTCACAACAGTTAGAAAATTAGAAATCCATCAAGAACAATCAAAAACTCTTTAACAAATTTCCATGAAGCAAGTACAAATGAAAATATTAAATCCTTATATGCAAACTTTTTTTTTTTTTTGGCAACTCAAAGGAGAAGAAGAGTAGACGGCATAAGCAAGAGCATTGTATTGAGCTGGATCGTGACAAAATGTCCTTAGCTGACTTCATTTATTACCTGCCGGAGTCAAATCCTATGACGTAAGTTTACCCTAAGATAATACATCATTTTGCTTTCTTTCTGCTTGTGTGCTATGTATGATCAAGATAACTTGGATTAATATTAAAATGCTGAAAGGTGTGGGTATGGTGGATATTCATATTAGTGTATTCGTTTACATCTCAAATACCTTGTGTGTCATTGGTTGTCTCTTCATTACATGAACAGCTCCTCCCTTTCCACAGAGGAGACTCAAGCACAGGCCATTGCTCCATCGTCTCCCATGTAAGTGAAATGAAACCTGTATTGTTTAGTTTTTTTTCGGCAATATTTAGTTTTTATTAGCATGTTGTCTTGATTAATGTCTTTCAAGATAATGTCAGTGTTCTGTGTCTCAGTGTGCAGAAAAATATAGCAGAAGCAGATGAGGACTATGATGATGCTGATGACGATATGCTGGTTCCAAAAGTCAGGGTGGCAGAGGATGGCTCACTGATTTTAGATGAAGAAAGGTATGGTGGACTGAAAGAATCTGTAAAATCCAGTCCCTGGTAAGGGAAACTGGTAACACTTTATTTTAGTGTCTTTGTTACACATGACATGTACTTATTATAGTAATAACAGTAAATGATACATAACTACATGCAACTAACCCTAAACCAAGTCCTGACCCTAACCCGTAAGTACAAGTTGTTAATTGATATTACTTAATAAAATGTACACTGTAATTAAGACACCTTAAATTAAAGTGTAACCAGGAAGGAGCCCTTTCACAACAGCATTAATTTTGAATTGATTGATGTTAGTTTGTTTGTTGAAATCCTTATTAATAGAGACAATTTTACTTTACATGTTCAGTGCAGGGTTACAGATGTAAAGATGCCATTTAGCATGTAACACATGTAGAGCCCCATATGTTTCATCATATATAATGCATAATTGTTAGTAATTACGGATTGATTGTGTTCAGTTTGACAGTGCGTGTTCAGAGGACGTCTGATACAATTGTTGAGAATGCAAATCCGCTGTTTGAGCGAGGCTCTTCTACAACATACGCAAGTTTCAGGAAAAAGAACTATGTGAAGAGCTGGTCTGTCAGAGGTATGAATACTAAATGTTGCATCTGTTGGCTTATGATTGTGTAGGAACATGCGTTGCTGTTTGCTCATGTCAAGCATGAATGTAGGTTTAATGTTAAATTATCAATACTTTATTGGTACATTCACTTATGTGAAGAAACCCGTTGAGAGCATCTTAAAATTTTAATGTGTGTTTCAGAGACAGATATGTTCTATTTGGCCATCAGTATGGTGGGAACAGATTTCTCCATGATTGCTCAGCTGTTGACTCACCGTAGCAGAGCAGACATTAAGGTACCAGCCCTAATCACAACAAATATCCTCATCTCACAGACATTACCCTGTGTATAAATGTAATACCTTTGAGAATTTATCTGTTTGTGTGTTTTTGTCTTTCTGTTTTTAATAGAATAAATTTAAGAAGGAGGAGAGAGCGAATGGATGGCGAGTGGATAATGCGTTCAGTGAGTCTTTTGTACTTTTTACTCAAATGCATCCAGAAATCACATGCTGTCTGTCTATAGAGTGTTGTTAAAAATCTACTGTACAATCCTTGGTCTGACTTTTAAATTATTTAGGAAACAAGCGGCCATTTGATAGCGAGTTTTTCAGTTTCCTGCTGAAGAGGATCTTGGCTAAAGACAAACAAAAAGGCAAATCCATAAAACTGGTTGTGAAATCCAGTAAAGAAAAGAAAGGCAAAGGTATTGTGCTCAGGAGTGGTGGCTTCCGATCTTTGGATCCCACTGTACCACACTCTATTTGTGTGTTTGTGTGTCACACTGTTTATTTTATTTACTCTAAATACCTTCTCTTTAACAGGTGGTAAAAAAGCCAAACCACTTGAGGTTAAAGACTCCATTAATGATGATGATGATGAATTGTGCAGTGTGGACAGTGTCTGTTTTGACTTAGAAAAGGAAAACCAGGATGGCTGTAATGTGAATGAAGCTGATGTGCCGTCAAGCACAAGCAAGAAACGTAAACGCACCAAAAACACTAAGCCAAAAGTTTTGTCATGTGAGAAAACATGCAAGCCAAGGAAGAAAAATAAGACACCGAAAAAAGGTTTCACACTGTTTATTACAAAAATGTTATATATGTGATTGCACATAATTGCAATTCAGATTTGTCCATGCTGTCTGTCATTTATAGTGCAGTATGGTCCAAATCCCTTACGGTGTCTGAACATAATAATTCTCTGTATAAATATATAACTGAATGACAGTTCAATCTATTTATCATTTCAGGCAAATGCTCAGTTGAAGTGGAGGGAAGCTCTGTGAACGCAGACAATGAAGATCAGTCATGTGTGCCTGTATCAAAAAAGAAACGCAAACAATCAAAAAAGAGTGACCAGGAGCAGCAGGAAGATAAAAGAGATGCCAAAGAAAAATGCCAGAAAAAGAACAACAAAAAAAAACTTAAAGGTTTTTGTTTGTTACTTTGACTTTACTGAGCTTACGTTAAAGACCCCCTGAAATCAAAACGGCTTTTAGTCAGTGTGTTAACTGTGAAGCCTTCGATATTGTTGTGAAATATACTGAAAATACAAAAAATATTTTTCAGTGTTACATGATCCTTCAGAAATCATTCTAATTTTCTGAGAAGAAACATTTTTCATTATTATCAATGTATAAATACAGTTCTACTGCTTCATATTTTTGTGGAAACCTTGATACTTTTTTTTCTCCTCGAAATAATAGCATTTATTATAAATGGAAATTGTCTACCATTATAAATGTCTTTTGTGATCAATTTAATGCGTCCTTGCTGACAAAAATGTAAAGTCTTGCTCCAAACTTTTGAACTGTAGTGTACATATTTAAAATGCCCTTTGTAATCTTGACAGTACGGAATGAAGAACCTACTGATGGAGAAGGTAACGCAGTGAATGAGGAGCACAACGAGGTGTCTCCTGTCCCAACTAAAAAACGCAAACGCTCCAAAGGATGTGCGAAGGAAGAGGAAGCCACAAAAGGAAAACAGAAGACTAAGAGCAAAACGTCAAAGAAAGGTAAAGGATTTTTTTCTTTCCATACTTTGACTTTACTGAGCTTATGTTAAAGACCCCCCGAAATCAAAACGGCTTTTAGTCAGTGTGTTAACTGTGAAGCCTTCTATATTGTTGTGGAAATATACTAAAAATATTCTTCAGTGTCACTTGATCCTTCAGAAATCCTTCTAATTAGCTGAGAAGAAACATTTTTTATTATTATCAATGTATAAATAGTTGTACTGGTTCATATTTTTGTGAAAACCCTAAAAAAAAAAAAATCTTACCCCAAACTTGAACTGTAGTGTACATATTTAAAATGCCCTTTGTAATCTTGACAGTACGGAATGAAGAACCTACTGATGGAGAAGGTAACGCAGTGAATGAGGAGCACAATGAGGTGTCTCCCGTCCCAACTAAAAAATGCAAACGCTCCAAAGAGTGTGCAAAGGAAGAGGAAGCCACAAAAGGAAAACGGAAGACTAAAAAGAGCAAAACATCAAAGGAAGGTTAAGGATTTCTTTTTTTTTCATGTTAATGTACAGTCTAAAAATTGACATTTGCCTGGAAAAATTCATCTGATTTTTATGTTCTACACAGGGTGTCTTAGATCTGAGCTGGGAGCTGATGGTAGTGAAGTCTCGACAGCAGCCCCCGATGCTGAAGAGGATCAAGGGTATGCAAAATGATCTTCCCAAAATCTACAGTTTTCTAATTACAAATCTTCATCAATTGTCTCATAATGTGTCAGGGAGAAGCTCAGTCTAGAGAGCACAACTCAGCAGGAGATTTTACAAAGCTCTTCCAAACGTTCGAAGAGGCCTTTGCCCAATTTGGCAAAAAGAAAAGCCAAAAAATGTTCTGAGCCAAAAGCAACCGTAGAGATTAAAGACACGGTAGAAGAACCTCAAGATGAAAGCTGCAAAGAAGCTGAGAATGAGGTATGTTTTCGCATTTTCGAGTTTGATTCCACACCTGCTAGTCTCTTTTCGCAAGAGGTACATATTGATTTGTTTACCACCTTAATGTTCACGTTTAGCGGCGTGCCCATTTGTAAATTTAATTTGTCTCGCTTCCGGTGTCATCTGCTTAGTTTTTTTTAGCTATACAAAACGGCTTGTTATGCTGCTTGATATTGCAAACTGGTATTGCTTACCTTATTATTTTAATGTATTGTCTAAATTAACACACTGGTCTGTAGCACAAACAGTTTTACCGTGTACTGCACTTTGTTATTCTTCCCATTATTTACCTGTAGCAGCTAGTGAATCAGTCTTGGACATTCACAGAAAATAGCTTACTCCCGCGTTGAAAAATAAGGTGGATCGGACCACACAGTATAAAACGATGTTTCAAAGGGATAGTTCACCCAAAAATAAAAATGAATCTCATTCCAAAACCTGTATGACATTCTTTCTTCTGTAAAACCCCAAAGAAAATATTTTGAATAATGTTGGAAACCAATTAGTTTTGGTGACCATTGACTTCCATTGTATGGACAAAAAAAACACAGATGCTTCTCAAAATATCTTCTTATATCTCTTTATTATTATTTTATTTTTTATTTTTATTTAATTTTTTGCGCTGGATTTATTTACCAAACAGAGTTTGCGTGTTCTACTCATGTTAGCTTGGGTTTCCTCCGGGTGCTCCGTTTTCCCCCACTGTCCAAAGACATGCAGGTTAGGTGGATTGGATATGCTAAATCGTGTGTGTGTGTGTGAGAGAGAGAGAGCGCGAGTGCGAGAGAGCGAGCGAGCGAGAGAGACCGACCTAGCGAGAGAGACCGACCTAGCACTGGGGTTGCATGAGTAAGTGCACTCTCAGTGCTGAGTTGAGTCAAGAAGGCCATCCGGCATAAAACTTGTGCCAAATTCAATGTGTGGATAATTCCGCTGTGGCGAACCTTAACGGGAACAGCCCAAAGCAGATGGATTTATTTACCACACAGAAACTTTATGCACACAGAACAGTATGAAACTACCGTTACATCTAGCAAATAAACCAAATTTTTGACATTAAACAAACTCTGCTCTGCCAAAAAAAGATCTAGTGTAAAAGCAAACACCAGTAAATGTTATTAACACAAGGGCACAAATTATTTTCTTTAGTGATCACTGGAATTGATCAGTAATGTGGATAATCCTGAAACATTATTTGATTCTTATAGTTCAACATCATCTGTCTTGCTGAGGAACAGCTCCAGAAACAGCCAGTAGTTGTTCTGGAGAGAACTCCTCCAAGGTAAATGGTTTATTCTTTCTGCACATTACTTGTTACACAGTGATCTCTTGAATTACCTTTTATATATATATATATATATATATATATATATATATATATATATATATATATATATATATATATATATATATATATATATATATATATATATAATATCACTTCACAGGCTTAAAGATGCACACAGCTCATCTGAAAGCCAAGACCAGCCACAGTCCTCTCAGAGCCCTCTACGTTCTCCTGGACACCAGGTAAGAGCGGGAAAGGTGAAGCGCAATCTGACTGTTTCAGATGATGGTAGTGAAGTCTCGACAGCAGGCCTCTGTGCTGAAGGAAGTCAAGGGTATGCAAAATTTATTATATTTTGACAAGATTAGAATATGGTATTTTCTTTCAACAGTTCTCTAATTACAAATCTTCATCAATTACCTCATGTGTCAGGGAGAGGCTCAGTCTAGAGATTTCACTAAGCTCTTCCAAACGTTCTCCTGGACGGCAGACGAGAGCGGAAAAGGTCAAGCGCAATCGGACCACTTCAGAAGGAGAAAGGATGGACCAGTGTCAGACTGGGTCAGATACATCTCCAGAGGACATGAGCAGCACTGCAATGCCTTATCAAGTGGTCATCCAAGACTCTAAAGACATGGAGGAGGTAAAACAAATAACTCTTATTGCATTTCCACTATTTGTATTGATTATCAGTAATGCATTCCTACAGTATTAAAAATAAAAATGAGAGGCTATACATTTTTGTAGCATGATGTGAATCTGCTTGGCCTGCATTTACATGACGCCAATAATCACGTTCAATGCATTGTTGCTCGCAACATGTTGACCTTTTTTATGCTCTGTAATGCTTTAAAACTTCAGAGGATAATGTTTATAACTATGATCTTTATATAGATCTTTGATTATCTGGTGCATTGTACAAATTATAGATATTCTTGTTATACAGTATTTTGATGTGGAATATTAATCTACCTTTTTTTTTTATATATCCAAATATCACGTTATGTTCAGTGTTTGAACATAACGTGACCAACAGAAAGACTTAACTACTAATTTAATTTATATAATACACCTCTGTACCGAAGAGACAAATTACTTTTTCTTTTTTTTAGTGTTGCAATTTGCATCATTTAGAGCTTTTGACTTCATCTGAAGAAAATGGTAAGTTTACTTTCATATTAATGTTTTTGTAATAAGACCAATTAAACAAACTGAGCACTTACTGTGTGTCTCGTAGAAATTTGTACTTATTTGTCTTGCTTATTACCATTTATGTATTGTCTATTTTCATATATTTTAAAATATAATTTATTCCTGTGATGGCAATGCTGAATTTTCTGCAGTCATTACTCTTGTCTTGAGTGTCACTTGATGCTTCAGAAATCATTCTGATATGCTGATTATTATCAGTGTTAAAAACATTAGTTCTGATTGTGGGAAAAAAAAAACTGGATTCTTTGATTAATATAAAGTTGAAAAGAACAGCATTTATTTGAAATATAAATATTTGTAAAAATTATAATTCATGCTGATTAAGTTTTTTTTTTTTTTTTTTTTTTATCTTACTAAACCCAAACTTTTGAACTGTAGTGTATTTGAATGCAAATAGATGATATTTCCACGTCTGTTTCTGGTGTCTTTATCTAATACCAAACATGACCTTTTTTGTTGGAGTGCAACACATAACAGTTGAAATGGGTGTAATGCTTCTTTTAATATCTCCTCAAGGTCAGACATTACTGAAAAGTCCAGTTGTGTTGGTGTCTCATGAAGAAGTGGAGCGCTACCTAGGGATCCGAGCACAAACTGCTGCAGAGGAATCAACGGCCTCCAGAGGCGATCATGTCAGTACTGGAGGAGTTTGTTCTGTGCGTTGTAGAGTAAACCAGTAGTAATCAAAGCTAAGAGTGACTGTTGATGTGGTTTGCAGGTGGGAGAGCATACGGATGGTCTTGAGGAACAGGGCTCTTCTATCGTTACTCTAGAAGAGAGCATCTCTCAAGACCCAGAAATGAAAGAAGCTGACACTGCCTCCATTTCTTCCCAACAAAACCTATCCGAAAAAAGGAGGTTTATTAAGCCAACACCCTGTCTAAGCCGGGCAGTCAAGACTTTCCACAGACCTCTCAATGTACAAACAACAGAGTTTAGAGAAAGTGAGCTTCAGATGTATATAAACCATGAGCTAAGAAAACCATCCAGTTGCCTGTCCCGGCAGCACTGTATTTGGTTTTCTGTACTGAATGTGTGTATTGTGTTCTTTTCCAAATCCAGATACAGCATCTTTTAACCGTGACTCCACACAACTGCAGTGTAGCAGTCCTGTGGAAGTCCAAGTGAAGATCGCCCTGAATGAATGCCTTTCTGAGGAAGAGGGCACATGTAGCGTTACTCCAGAAGAAAACAGCCCTTGGGATGTTCCGGTGAGGGAATCTGTCTCAGGAGTGAGTGACTTTAGTGTGTGAAACCAAACACACAATATCTGACTTGCTGTGAATTTTGTCTTCTTGAATGTCCAGGATGATGCCAGAACTACAGCAGATGATCTGCCGTCAGCTGGTGAGATTAAAAACATTATTGCCCTTTGTTATATTCAGTTGTTTCATTGCTGTATATAATTTCTTTCTTTCTTTCTTTCTTTCTTTCTTTCTTTCTTTCTTTCTTTCTTTCTTTCTTTCTTTCTTTCTTTCTTTCTTTCTTTCTTTCTTTCTTTCTTTCTTTCTTTCTTTCTTTCTTTCTTTCTTTCTTTCTTTCTTTCTTTCTTTCTTTCTTTCTTTCTTTCTTTCTTTCTTTCTTTCTTTCTTTCCGTATTTGTCTCTGTACCGCTTCTTTAAATAAGCAACTTCTCCAAGACCTAGTAAGACTGAGGACCAGGATGTTTCATCTTTCCTTGAGAAGCCTCAGGTTCCTGACACCACACCATCAGACAAAGGTGCAACATTTAACATCAAAACCCTAAATTAAGTGCTTAACTTTCAGCAAAAAAAAGTAGTAGTACAAACGAATGACTTTTACAGATGTGAATGAAAGAAGAACAAAGCTTGAAAAGTCTGGATCTCAGATTTCTGAGAATAAAGTTCAAATAACTGATCAAGATTCAGAGACTAGTGAGTCTGCTGTCACGGACACCATGATTGAGGAACCTCAGACAGAGGGGAAGAGGATTGTTCCAGTCAGGTGCGCACTGGGTATTAAATAAATGAATGATTCCAATTGAGTTTGTCTAGAGTGTCTTTAAAAACGTCTTGGCTTTGTGGTGTCATCTGTACAGCTGTTCCTCTGATGGTTCCTCAGTTTGTACTCAAGATAGTTGTGCTCCAGAGAAGCACATTCAGTTTGCTAAGCACACATCCAACCTAGAATTGGCATCTCAGGTTATGATCAACCCTCAACAGACCTCCGAGCCTAATGAAGGTGAGACTTATGTTGTTCAGATTGAGAATGTTGCTTTAAACGTCACTTGTGTTATTGCCAATGATTGAGACATGACATCATTTAGATCCTGCTGAGAAGCCAGAACATCAGAGCCCAGTTAAAGTCCAGCACTGTGATTTGGATTATGACATAAAGAGAGTCTCCAGAGAGGATACGCTTGTGGTATCTGAGGTGGATTTGCAGGAACGTAAACAGGATGAGGATCTAATGTCTCCTGTCCTGTTACTTGGCTCAATACTAACTTCAGCCCCAGATGTTTCTGTGGATAGCACTGGTAAAGGAAACGAAGGACAAAATGGTGGGTTTTTAAATTTGACCAGTTTTCTTTTTTCTATAAAGAATGAATATATTTATTAGATTTGATTTAATAAAGGGACAGTGTAGATGCTCATTCTTTACAACAATATTTAGTCCACATATTAAAACTCCATGTTAAAACCTAAAACTGACTAGGAAGGAACCCACCTTCATGGTTACACACAAACAATTGAGTCATTAATTTCATCATTTGTTTCTCATAGACCCAGTTCTCAGTGATGCTTCATTAGCACCATTTGAGGCACACAGTCCGGTTTCATCTTTTTATGATCCTCCCTCTGAACATACAAGCAACATGTGTGATATGGACACGTATGTACAGTGTTTGTAGTTTTTATGTAGAATTTATATAATATTATTAAATGATTGATAATATGCTGTTAAAGGATGCTATTTAGTGAGTCTGCAGCTGAAAACATTCAAATACCAGACGAGCAGGATTCAGAAAAGCAAGATGGCACAGAAGAGCAATCAGAAGCTCATAAGGTAATGCGTCCTGACAAACATTACACCTTGTGTATTCTGCGTTCACTGATTGAAATGAACAGCTTTAAACTAATGAATGTTTTCTGGCAGGATTGCATTGCCACTCTCAATGGAAATGCAAGATCTGAAATCTCAGGTTCAGCTGGAGTGGAAACGGGTGCAACTGGTAATGGTGACATGAATACATGAGCCAGAAAAATTAACACACTATAAATACACTGTATAATATAAATATTACTAAAATATGTTCTGTGAAGTGATTACAATTTAAAGTTTGGGGTCAATAATTTTAATGTTCTCTTATGCATTTATTTGGCAAGGCAAGTTTACTTCATACACAGTGGTAATTCAAAGAAATTTATTTTAAAAAAAATAGCAATTATTAAAACATTTTCATAAGACATAAAAAAACATTAAAAGTAAAAATAAAAAAGGATTAAACTAATTAAAATGAAATAAGATTCTACATTAAAATTACAGTTTTTCTCGATTGCTTAAACACTATAACCAGGCTTTTGAACTAAAATTTCAAAACCATAATACCATTTATCAAAAAGCACACCCATTTCACTGAACACATTAGTCAGATTTGTTGAACTGTCACAGCAAAACTCTACACACAAATCCCTTCATTTCTCATTGCCTACACCACGTGGTCATTTAGAAAGCACTAGCATTCAAAATTGTTCGCTCAAGTCAGCTCAGTTTCAGCTCAGTTAGCACACAATTACCCAGGTGAAAACACTAAGAGTCAAAATTGAACTCAGTCAGATCCTTCAATAGATAGATAAAAGGTTATACAATCTTTTATAAAAGATAAAAATCAGTTTACTGAGTTTTGGAATAATGGATCCACAGAGAAATTAACCAATAGGTCGAGGAGGGGGAGGAGGAGGAAGAGGAATAGGAGGAGGAAGAGGAATAGGAGGAGGAGGAAGAGGAATAGGTGGAGGAAGAGGAGGAGGAGGAATAGGTGGAGGAAGAGGAGGAGGAGGAAGGGCAAGGGCAAGAAGACAAGCAGTCTCGGATGAAATTCAAGCCACTTTAGTTGGCCATGTCCTTGTCCATGGTATGACTATGAGGGAGGCTGGGCAACGAGTACAGACAAATTTGAGTCGCTTCACCGTCGCCTGAACGTCGCTTCACCATCATCAGAACCTTCAGGGAGGTGTGGTGGCAAACACATTTCTATCACTGAATAAGAGACAAACATTTCCAATTGTCTTTGATGAGGTTTATGTTCTTGCAAGAAAAGGCCAGCAGTCGTACAGTCACACGGAGTGGCTGCAGAGTGTGACAGCGAAGGGAGGGCATCCTTTCTCCTTTATAGTCTTGACTCCCAGAATGTTATCTTTCTAGGCCAATGATGGTATTTCAACCAAATGTTGAACATTCTTAGACTTGTTCATCATATTGTATCCTTGAGTGGAGGCATGTACCAACACTCTTTACCATTCCAATACAATTCCATATTTGAATAAGGTTTGTGTGTGCTCTTTTACTGTCATATGATGCTCACACACATCTTGAGTAGAAGCGAGTAAAAAAAAAAGATGGATGGACCACAAGCAACATGACTTACCAGTTTTGGAAATGTTGTTTTGAATTTATAGCACCAGTGTGTAAGACTATGTTGTAGTGTGTGTATTTTTGAGGGCTTGTGTGTCCTGTCTGAGGGCAACGTTTGGTTTTTCAGCAAGAGTGAATGGTTTTGAGTGTAGAGCTTCATTTTGACCTGAAAATAGGATGTTTGGGGAATTGGGTGAGACGTTATGGATTTGTGTTTACTGTTTTGAGAATACGAGGCATAGTTTCAAGAAATGTGTTTAAGCAATCGAGAAAAACTGTAATATGAGGGACATAAAAGCAAAAGAGGATTTAAAAAAAAAAAACATGCAGTGCGATCGGTACAGCGCAGAAACGGTGCTTAATCAGGAAATGCACAGTTCAGCAGATGTTTTTTTAAATCTCGTCTTAAAGGTAGCTAACGACGGGGCACATCTGGCAGTTGGTTCCAGCTGTGGGTGTCATGATAGCTAAACGCCATCTAACCATGTTATGAATTTAACAAGCTTTATCCTTCCGATCAGAGAGCTCTATTTGGTTTTTATTCTACCAACATATCTGCTGTGTATTTTGGTCTGAGACCATAATGGGGTTTGTATACATACAAATCATTCTAATATGCTGATGTGCTGCTCAAGAAACATTTTCATAAAAAATTAAATAAATGCTGTCCTTTTAAACTTTCTATTCAAAGTAAAGCATACTCTGTAAACATACTCAGTCTTTATACTGTCACTTTTAATCAGTTTAATAAATCCTTGCTGAATAATAATAATATTAACTTATTAAACAATGTTTCTCACTGACCCCAAACTTTTGAACGGTATTATATGCTATTGTCTTCTTGCATAAGTCTTTATCTTATTGTGTTATTGTCTTTCTTTCCTTGTCACAGATAACCCATCAGAGGAGCCCACCTTTATTTTGACTCTATATGAGATTCCAACCTCTCAGCTGTTCCATGAGGCTGACTGTGGCCAGCAGGATATGCCCCCTTATGAACTGCAGCCAGCACAAGTCCAGACATCCTCACTGATTTCAGGCAGTTCACAGTCTCTTTCCTGTACATTAGAGGCTTCCAGGTACATTTCCCTTCCAGTCCAGATTTAATTCAACTCAGTAAAGAAATAGTCCTCGATGATCCATTCGTTTCATCCTTGATGACCTTGTTTTGTAGTGCATCTCTGCACATGGAGTCAGAAGAGACCAATAAACCATGTAAAAGTGTTTCTCACAAGGTGCTAGATGATTCCCTGGTTCCTCTTTCAAAGGATGCAGCAGAAGATGCAAGTACACAATTGATATCCTCACAGGAAAACCGTTGTGATGATGTGAACTTTTTAATTAGTCCACCTGAGATGCTCTCCTGTAATTCTGCCATGGTATGATGCAGTACTCCCTTACTGTAACATGTTACCATAATTTTTGTAGAGTGATTTATATTTTGTTGCAGTTTTGGAAATTAAAGTGTTCTCCCTTTTGGTAAAAGCCAACAGATGTACCAAAGTTGGATGAGATCCCGACAGAATCTCCAGAAACTAAAGCTGCCACTCAGAGAAGAAGTAAGAAATTAACTTGCATTCAACTTTTATTTATGTCAGTTACTATTATTAAAAATGGTATATTCAAGTAGACAAGATGGTAATGTCCTCTCTGATCTCTCCATCAAGGCAAGATAAAGGTCAAGCCGAAACTAAAGCCACGTGTGGTTGGGCCTTCAAACAATGGCCAGTTTGACTGTGCACCCAGTCAGACTCTGATAACGTCTCATGCTATTGCGCAAGCTGAGATTGAGTCCAACCAGAAAACATCTGCAGAGGAAACAGTTAGTCCTCAAATCCACTTAAGCCATGAAGACCGTGAGTGGGGAGCCAATCCTGGACATGACGGTGTGATATCAACTGCCATTGTGCCAGGCTCTGAAGATATGAGAGATGAGAGTCAGGTGAAGTGGGAAAGTCGTCTCAGAACTGGTCTCCAGATGGATGAGGATTCTGTTGTTGACCCTCCAGTGAGTCACAGGCTGCTCTCTGTTGAAGCGAGACCATTCATGCTGTGTTTTGCTGTATTATAGTTTAATCTAAATCAGTCGTTCACATAAGTGTTTCCTTACAGGTGCACAGGGTGTTGGCTGATACCTTTGTAGTCTCCTCAGGAGAAATGGAAAATGTTTTTAATAAGAAGGAGATCCCTCATGACAGTGAACTCCAAAAACCTGAGGACTTGTCTGAATGCCTTCCAGAGAGTGCGCGATCACTGTCTCAAGTAAATGTCCAAGTAAGTGTGTTTCTGTTTTTATTTAAACAAGATAAGTTTCAATCCTTTTTCTCCAGGAGCCTATCACTATTAGCAAACAACAACGGTCCAATAAATTCCTAATAGACAACATCAAGTTGAAAGGCCAGGCTAAATCGGCCCAATGGAGACATCCGATCAGCGGGTGAAGGTCTCTGAGCGTTACTGTCTTTCCGTGTGGCAAAGGGATTTGATTAAATTAAATATATTTTCTCATGTATTCTCTCGTTATTTCATCTCACTCCATAAATAAAAAAGGTTTTAATGATATCTGTGCATCATTAAATGTCAGCGAACTGTTCTTTTAACTCTTTACTGGAAATAATGTCAGAGTCGATTAGAATAAAATCGAGAGGAGACATGGGAGAGGAGACATAGTGATGAAGCCATATTGGTATATATATATAGGGATGATTAGGAGGCCATGGTGGACAGAGGCCACTGGGCAAATTTGGCCAGGATGCCGGGGTTACACCCCTACTCTTTCGAAAGACATCCTGGGATTTTTTGTGACCACAGAGAGTCAGGACCTCGGTTTAACGTCTCATCCGAACGACGGTGCTCTTTGACAGTATAGTGTAGAGATGCGCGGTTGGCGGTTACAGCCGCGGACTCCGCGGATAAACCGCGGATCGGGCGGATGACGGGACAATTTTTTTTTTTTAAATTAAATTCGGGCGGGTGGCGGGCGGTTGGCCCAGACGTTGATTGACATTGGAGCTAAGTTCGGTGCTGTTGATGAGGAACGAGCCTGTTCTGAAGACTCCCGTTAATTTTGAATGCACGGGAAGAGAGCGGAGAGCGCGTCTTTTTCAGGCACAGTGCAATTAATTTTATACCATCAACAGGCCTAACAATCATATAATAAACTATAGAGCCTCGATATTACAGAAACGCCGAAGTCGCTCCTAGGCTTTTTCGTTGGTGCGCCATCAGCTATGCCTACAAAAGACAGATGAAATCTAATATTAATAATTGATCCATGTCGGTATATACACAGCCTAATATTTTATAATGAAAAATAGCCTACACAATCAAGATAGACTGTTTACTTTTTAGCCTATTAAATCCAGGAAATTGGTTAATGAAACATGGATTAAAATGAAGATACAATTAATACAAAATGAAATTCGCTTTAAAGAAAGGCTTTGTGCTTTTTTGAGGCCTCTGTGAAAGTTTGAAAGTCTTTTAGTGCCGCTTTCTGAGTGTTCGCGTCCGTAATGGAGAACTGTCACGTAACATTGTTGGCGTCCCATACAATAGCAGCATGTTGAAATGATGTGCCAAAAAAGCGTTTTCTATTAGGCTACAATGAAAATATTGTACAGTAGCATATCAGATAAGGTCAGGTTTGCCGAAGTGCGTTTAATTTAGGCTATTTATTTATTTTTGTCCCTGCGCGCCGATCGGAGACAGAGTTCACTGCTGATATTCTGAGAGCTTTCTAGTCTCGCGGCTGTCATCAGCAGCGCCTTGTATCGCCCAATCAGCGGTAGGGATGCAACGATTACAGATTTTGTAAGTACGATTATTGTCTGAGAAATAATCACGATTTAACGATTATCACGATTATTATGCATCAATTAATTTCACAACACTACTAATGTATAATATCACATGAACACTCAACACTAGATTTTTAATGTGCTAGATTTATTGCTGCCACAACACAATACAAAATTATAAAATTACGAACAATAATCAATCTCTTCATTTGGAATTAAAGAGAAGTGCTTTGTAAACATCCAGCATTTTTCTTTTAAAAATAACAAATTAAGTCAAAGGCTGCAGGGCTCTTTGATTGAAATAGATCAAAAAATTATTAAGTGTTTAGTTTGTTCTAAATTTATTTTCAAGCTGAGGTAGAAAACATGAAAACAATATCTTGTTGGTATTTGACATAAAAACATAAATAATACTATAAAGGGATAATAAATCCCAATGAAAATAAGAATAAACAAAGTATTTGGCTCTATTGAATTAAATGCAAGCTAAATATTAACTATGTATTTATTTTAAAAGAAAACAAATATAGTCCAAATGTTATCCACCAATATTATTGTACTTATTTTAATACTCTTTTTTTAATTATTAATCCAAATTTTACATGTGCCTTTAGAAAATCATCTAGCCTATTTTAATCTCATTATTTTGGTTTGTTTGTTTGAAGTTTAAGTAAAAATTATAGAAAGAAACTGAGAACATCTATCATGCAGTGTTATTAATAACTGAAATGCAGTTAATTGGTAGTCATAGAAGTCTACACGGCCCTGATCTTATGTTAGTGTTTTACACTGGGCATATTAAAACTACAAAGCCTAACATTTAGGCTACTCAACACAGACAGGAGAAAGCAATAGGATATTAAGTTAAATGTTCACTGACTGAAACTCTTGAGAGCACGTCACAGTCTGTTTTCCACAGACTTACGTAACCAAAACATTCCGCTGTTTTTTTGTTGTTGTTTTTTTGCACTGAAAGCTGCACGCCACGTTCTCCTTTTTCCAAAGCGCTAGGGCGGACAAAGTCTGTCGTAACTCTGTTGGTTCTTGTTACTTGACCTATGGTGAGCTTGAGGCATTCTGAAAATTTGAGATGTTTTTATCTCGATGCAGCGCGGACGCGCTTGGAAAAAACAAGCGTGTCGCTTCCATTATGAGCGCGCCTACATTTGAAATGAACTTGAGCGCGCAAAAGACGCGATCTATGAACAGGCCCTTAAGGCGTTTTTTCGGTGGAAATAGAGCGTCGCTGCTTAGTCCCTCTGCCATAGCGGTTGACGAGCACGGCACTTTAAGCTGGTGCACCGCTGGTGTAAATTTGTTTTCGTTTTGTGTTAGTTGCAAAAGTTCCGGTGTAGCATAGTCTTTACGATTACTTAACCGTGACGTTTTAAAGCGCGGTTAATTGTGAAATCCGGTAATCGCTGCATCCCTAATCAGCGGATGGCGGGCGGGTGCGGTTTTGAAAATTGGTCAAAAACTTTGGTACAGATGGATGGCGGACGGATGATGAGTTTTGTGATGCGGTTGCGGATGAAATAATAGCCCATCCGTGCATCTCTAGTATAGTGTCCCCATTACTATACTGGGGCGTTAGGACCCACACAGACCACAGGGTGAGTGCCCCCTGCTGGGCAGGAGACCATTTGTCTAGAGACCACCTTCCTTTGTCCCAGTTATCTCTAAAGTCTTAAAAACCATATTACCTTTTGTTTTACTTATTTTGAAATGAGACATTTGTCGCCCTGAGACATTTCAAATGATACTAAACATTATATAATACTCGATGATAATTATTCACATTAGACCATATAGATTATTTTGTGAGTTTGGGTGATCTCAGCAAGAGTGGGGGATGAGGGGAAGAAATGTAGATTAGGATGAGGGAGGTGAGACCTTCGTCTCGATAGTGCACAAGGGGGAGTTCAAATGTTAATTTGCATGAAAGGTCCTTTGTCCACTCGAGGAGTGGTCGTTCCTCAACTAGTTTTTCCAGTCTTACAAAGTCCAGCCCTAAAAAGAAATGTCACTTCCAAGTGAATTTTTTCAGATATACATCAAAATGGGGGGTGGGAAGATGACTGCAATTTGTTTCATTTCAATTTTAAAAGTTTAAAGGTAATTAGGAGCACATCACATGAGTTGATTAGTACTTCTGTCCACAGAAGGAAAAAATGGCAGATAATTCTAAAAAGCCAGATACTTGCAGAGAGGCATCAAGTGTGACACCATCAGTTTCTCAAGAGAAGACTGTGCCTTTACAAAGAAGAGGTAAGGATATTAATTTCCCTTCATAGTTCCTTTTTAACCTTTAATAAGATTGCTAAAAATGTTTATTTGTCAAAAAACATTTTTGACAAATAAACATACCAAACTGTTACTGAATATTATGCATTTAGTTTGTTTTATAATAGTATATGCATTTCATTTCATTTACATTTTATATGTATCTTGAATGTTATCTTTTTAAGGCAGGATGCAAGTGAAGCCTAAAATCCCCAAAACAACAATATCTACTAAAGACAATTTCTCAAGACAGGAGCAAACTGATATAGGATCTAATGAACCAGTCACAACTCAAATCATTTTACCAGCAACTTTGATTAAAGAAGAAAGTGTTAAAGTGGAACTGAGCGAGAGACCTGAGCGAGAAGATTTTTCTGATATTCCTAAGGAGTCAGACACAGAAAACATTGAAGAAGTCACAAAGACAAAGCAGCAGACCCCATTCACAACTGTGGAAACACCAGCATGGTAAGACATGTCTATCTTTATAAATGTCCTTGAATGTGTGAAGTCCTTAACAAATTTTTTTTTTAACTCTATTGTCATAGCACTGAATCATCACCTGTGGAATTGAAAATAGAGGGTGGGCACAAGGACGTGTCGCATGTGGTGTTGTCTGATATATTGGTGCCGGTTTCCATGGAGAGTGGAAGTCCTGTCCTAAGCAGTCTCCAGATGGGTGAAGAGAGCCAGCAGGTCCTCGCTGCTGAGGAAGACCAGGAGACACATTCACATGAGGGTGTTTCACACATGCTGTTGACTGATATATTCATACCCGTCTGTGAGGACATGCAAGATGATCTGAGCAAGGAATGGATGACAACTGGAAAGACATGCCCTCATGAAGCAGAAAGATCTCAGGTTAGTTATGTGAATTAAATGTATTTATTGGTATTGGTTGATACTGTGTTTTTACTTGTACATTCTTGTTTCCACCTACAAAGATTAACTTAATCTTTAAAAACACTCATTTCATTGTTAAACGAAATCCTTTAGTTTTTATACCCTTGATTAATATATGATGATGTCTTCTATTTGAAATCTATTCAACAGATGAGAGAGGATCCAGATACTGCAGACCTGTTATGTGCAGTGTCACAATCATCAAATGTGGGACCATCAATATCACCCAAGAGTAAAAGACACACTCAGGGGAAAGGTGGTGAAAAACTATTAAAACAATGTATCTCAACACACTGCTTAGTTTCTGTAACAATGTGAGGAATTTTCTGCTTTTAAGGCAAGTTGTTGGTAAAGATGACATTTCCCAAAAGGACAGTTGGAGATTCCCCTAAGAGTGGCGAGCAATCACGAACCGTGCCTCCGTCAACCTTAATGCCAAAGCAAGAGGTCGATGCTACTCTAAATTCCCCAGAAACTGAATGCATTTCAGAACCCAAAGTGGAGTCAACACAATGTAGTTTTGAGACTTTTACATGGTATGAGTGACTATTCTCTGATATATACTGAAATTTTAATGAAAATGAAACCACTGATGGTTTGGTCATTCTGTCATAGTTCTGACTTGCTGCCTGTTGGCTCAGAGGACCATGAGGCGGCGTGCGGGGGGGTTTCTCATATGTTGCTCTCTGATATTTTGGTGCCTGTATTGGATGAGTCAGCAGAGCACAACCTTCACAAAGAGGCCTTATCAGTTGGTCTTCAAGAAGATTCAGTCAAAGTATGTTCATGTGTTTTGACAGGTCTTTGGTCGCTGATATAAAATTCTGGAAAAAATTAATTATTTACTGAGCATCTATCTAACTGCCACAGGTTGAGGAGTCAACATATATTGAGAGACCAGCAAATACTGAAACGGATGAGACAACAGCAAGTCAGTCTGTGTCAGTGGAATGGAAAACGCCTTCTTGTAGGAGAAGTAATAATGGACATTTTTGAGTAAAAATAATAATATAATGCAAAATATATTTGTAAGTAATGAGAATCATATCTTACTCCCCTAAAATAGTGGTTAAAGTTAAAAATGTAATAAATTAATAAACATTTTTGCTTTTTCAATGGGAGTGATGAATCCAGAAAAAAAAAAACTCAATCTTGATTTTGTTCATGTTCAAGTTAATGGTGTCTATCAAAATTTGATCAGATGATTTTGATGTATTTGCTTCTAATGCTTTCAATCTATCTTGTATCTATTCCTCAAGGCACACTTCGCCCAAAGCCTAAATTATCAAAAAAGAGAGATGATCCTTTAGAAACCGACCTCTGTCAGCCGGGCTCTACACAGACCTCTTCAGCTACTCCTCAGCAGTCCCTGGACCCTCAAGCAGAGGAATGGTCCCTCAAAAGCAATATGCTGCCCATGGACTCGGATGAGATTGAGAACTGGTGTGAAGGAGTTTCCCACATGTTGCTGTCAGATGCATTTGTGCCTGTTTCTGAAGAGATTGGACAGAATAGCACAGATCTAAAAGTATTTGTCTCAAGCAGTCCTCATGAGGATGAGGAACACGCTCTTAGTCTGCCAAAGAGTGAGGAGACACCCTCTGAGATTTCCGATGAAGTATGCTATTTTAAGAAGCATTTAACTGCAGTTCATTATAATTGTACAATTGTATGGGATAAATCTCATGAAAAGAGCCCAGATCACATTTTACCAAAAAATTCAAAAGATAATTGATTTTTTTCTTTGCATGAAAAGTATACTCTTATTATTTTTTGCAATGATATATTTTTTGCATTTTTATGTAACACGAAAAACGATTTAGATTCAATATAAAAATTATTTAAATTATGGATTTTACGGTACTGCCTTTATTCAAAATGAATTTATTTAAATAATTTACAAAAAATTGGCAATTCAAAAACCTTATATTTGGGGAATAAAATTAACTTAATCATGGGCTTAAAAATGCTAAGGGTCCTGCGAGTAGAATTACATTTTCTTCATGCAAAATAAGTATTTTTGGAGTGAAATGTGACCTGGACAGGCTGTTTTGAGATACACCTATATGAACTTTTAAACACTGTAGATGACAATGCAAAAATCTGTTTTATAGGTACATCAATTAGACACTATTTCTGACCTGCCAAAGATTGATGAGTCAAATGAGAGTCTGCCAGCATCACAAGCAAAAAAATCACCAGCGAGAAGTCAGTCATTCTTCATCATACGCAATATTATTTGTCTTTGTCCTCATTATACTTTGTACTACTAATTTTTCTTTCTAATTAATCAATTTCTCTCACTATTCATTAATCTCTCTCAAACAGGTACATTTCAGATGACACTAAGATCGCCCGAAAGACGCCTTAAAGATCAACCCAATGTGCTAAAGACAGCCCAAGCTGCCCCAACAACACCTCAGCGAGCTCAGACATCAAAAGTGAAGGAGTCCATGAGAACTCCAACAAAGCAACACACAGGAGAGATCTCAGGTGTGTGTAGGGTACAGCTAGAGAAGTTATCTGTAGAGGAAATATGCACTCCCCAAAGTGTCCTGCTACCAAAGCATCACAGCACACCCGTCACTGTGAAATCCATTTTTAGAGGGTAAGAATAATTTCCATTTCGTGCCAATGACTCATAGTATCTTTTATAATCCTTTTCAAATTGTTAAAATCACAATATTTAGTGCTATTCACAGTAAAAACAACTACTCAGTTGCATAGCTAAATTGCAAAAATCTGTTTGTACTCTTAGGAATGAGATGCCCAAGGCATCTCTGGCTTTGCATGGAAGCAGAAGCCCTGGTTTAGAATTGCATGCTGATGAGGAGCCACTCGTGCCTCCAGGATACTCACCAAAGATTGTCCTTCATCGTGTACCAATAACTGATGCGAACACGCTTACCTCGTCCCCAGCTAGAGTGTCCACCACAGCCTCCCGACCACCGGCAGATCATCAGGTACATGCTGTGATTTTTGATAAAATCGTTGTATTATTAAGCCTTAAGTTGTTTTCATTAATATTGCATTCTCTATCGTGCAGTTCTCTCAAAACAGCCCTCCAATCTCCAATTTGGATGCTGATGAGGATCCTGTTCAAGTGTCCCAGTTCTTCCTGGATGACATCTTCACTGAAGTCGTGGATCCGGACTGATTCTTGTTTGAGACGTTTTTCACTGCTGCTATTCCTGTTCATTGCACTGGAGTGAACATGTACAACACTGGTACACTGCTAATTGCAGACCTATTAGAGAATTGTTAGTAATTTTAATAAAATTGTTTAACTTTCACAAAGGAAAAACACATACATATATTATATACATTTGTTATGAGGTATTTGCCATGAGGTTTTTTTGTGATGAGACATGCAGTGATGCAGGTTTAGTCACAGCTCTGTTATTTATTTGTATTTATTTAATGCTGAACATTGCACCACGTTTTTTTTTATCAATGTGGTTTTTACTGACTGCATTTGAGTTTAAAGATCTTGCTTTGGTCAATGCAAATATATTTGTTTTTATGGTAACTGTGTTACTTTTGTTTTCGTTCTGAGAGCAAAACCACTTTTGTGAATTATAATATAATTCTCCAGTGAGAATTTATTTTCAAGAATGTGTAATTAAATATTATCAATTGTCAATTATATTGGCAATTGGTGGCACAGTCTGGAATGGATATTACATCAGTTAAGTATTTATAAATAAGTTAATAAATTGATATTCACTTCAAACCTAAAATGTTTTTTCTTACTCTGGAAATACAGTGCACCTGAATAGGAAAAACGAGGGGGCGGGGAAGTTTAGAACAGATTTTAAATTTCAAGTTTACATTTTTTTTTTCAACATTTTTACAGACACGCAAATGAAGAGGTTGCTGAAAGGAGAGTGCATTTTTTTTTAGCACATGATGAATATGAGTTTTGTAATAAATATATTTTGTTAAAATGGTAGTTACCAAAGTCCTTAAATAGTCTATGTAGTTACTAAATACCAAGTACGTAGGCTAACTCAATTATTGAGATCATAACTTTATATGTAAGCAAGCACATATATGTTGGATTAAATTCTTAATATAAAAAGTAATGTTCAAAATGAAAATGCAGATTTTAAATATTATATCGTAAAAAACAATGTTAACCAGCGAAAATCTGCACAGCGAACGGAAAGCATTCGGAATAGCATATAATGTTACTTCTCTTTGTGTATTTAAAAATAATAATAAATAATACAGAGAATGTATGCTGTTTTTTTTTATTTATTATTATTGCAGAATGTACATAAGACAGGGAACAATCAACAAAGTAAGACACTTTCATTGAGACTAAAGTTTGAATTTGAAAACAAAAAGGAAAGGGAAAAAAGAAAAAGGAGCTGTTTATTTTTATTTTTTTATTTTATTGAACTGTATCAATTTACAAACTCAAATAGGGAACAATAATATGCAGACAAAAAATAACTCCATTCGTATATCTGTGCATATACGCCTATGCTTACATAGGTTCATAGAACAAAAAAAAAAAAAAAAACAATTGCATAATTAGTACAATAAACAAAAGCATAAATCAAACATTTAAGGGGGTTACAAATTGCAAGGAAAAAAATAAATAAATCTTAGACAAAAACAAACAAAAATTAGAAAGAAAGAGACTCGTACATGTTTTTATACAGTTTACAAAGGGACTGATTATCTTTGGATAAGTATTTAATGGATGCTAAATAAATCTTAAATTCATTTTTAAAACAAATAAAAGAGGGTTTACTGTTGTTCCACTTGCTTTTATGAATATGATATTTACCCAAGGAAATAATAACGTTTAACATCAATGACACATTTTTAGAGAGACCGTCTACATATATCAAAACCTGAGATACATTCAGTGAAGGAATATCATTACCAATACTTAGCCAGCTGTAAAGATCCTGCCAGAATTTCAGTGTGAAGGAGCTGTTGTTTATGTTGTTAGCGCTTGTCAATTGAACGGGGTGTTCCTATTCAACCAGTTTTCATTGGCTGTGCTAAGGGGAGGGGAGCAAAGCTTTCAGCGTTAACGTTAACCGTTTGCTTTCAGAGGACGTTGCGTGCTTAGTTCGTCCTTAGACCTGTCAGTTAGAGGATGAATCATGATTCTGCACTATGCTAGACCGGTTGTCTCACTCATTCGGAGCAGGAATGTAAATGTTGCCATTTCCAGGCTATATCATGCGGATAAAGTTGCAACAGTGGGCTCGCAGCCCGACTCACAGTCTACGGTTTTTCAGGTAGGCCACGTATGAAGCCTCGGACTCAAGTTACTGCATCCAGCCGGCAGTGGGGATTCATCTGCGGCGGCAGTTGTGCATGTCCTTGTGCACTTATTCAAAGAGAAAATGACATAGTTCGTATAATACACATACAATAGACGAGTAAACTTGTATTTGCACCTTGCACTAACCGGTCAGATTTTTTACTATGTACTATACTTTATACTTATGTACGTTAAGTTAACTAAGTATGTTTCTGATTTTGATACATATATGATATAGTATGCTAAAATATTTTTATTTTGTCACCACTGTGAACCGTCTGATGATGATGAGTCTGGTGACACTATATTAAACCATACTTAAGATTTCAGTCACGTTCTGATTATTTATATAATAAACTTTGAATATGGTAATTTACCAACTAGAAATCTTTCACATTGTAGGAAAATTATGAGCGAATGCAAGCACTGGTGAGGGAGTTGAAGGACAGAGCAGAGAGGATCAAACTTGGTGAGCAAGTTGAAAGTATTTTTACTTTGATATCACTACACACAGCCTATGAAGCCATTACATAGGGGTAGTTTATGGCAGCTTTAGCACATTTCCTTGCACCAATGTTTACAAAACATTGCCATTTTCAAAGGTGGAGGAGAAAAAGCGAGAAACCTACATACATCCAGAGGAAAGCTCCTGCCCCGGGAACGCATCGACAGACTGTTGGATCCTGGGTAAAAACAAACTCTCTGTTATAAAAAACTACAAAAATGTCATCATTAGAATGTTGTCCATTCAGACTGTTTTCATGTTGAACTTGTTTTTTTGTTTGTCTGAATGCAGATCTCCCTTTCTTGAGTTTTCCCAGTTTGCTGGTTATCAGTTATATGGTAAGGAGGAAGTTCCTGCAGGAGGCATAATCACTGGTATTGGTCGAGTCTCAGGGTGAGGAACATACAATTAAATCAACAGCCCCTTTCACGCATTAAAGCCAGTCAGTCAGTTAGCATTAAATTACCAGATTTACTTTTTCTGGCGAATGCACAAATGTGCTGTTCACACAAATGACTTTGTTACGTTTTTTTTACCATTAGATACCATTTACACATCAGTACCAAAATACCGGTTAACTCTAAACTGTAATGTTTTCTTCATCCGCCTGGATGAGAAGCGCTTTAGTTTCACTTTCTGTCCAATTTGACATCTTACATCTGAGTGACATGCATAGGGGGATGATCACATAGAATGTTTTTTTGCTCTTAAAAACACATGACATATAATAATGTATTTACTAGTTACTAGGCTAATAGTGCACTATAGTAACTGCAGAGCCACAGCGCTGATGAATGGAAAATAATGCAGGGTCTCAAGTGTTATACGCAGCGCAGCGTTCAGACGTCCGTCTAGCGCATGTTTACATAGATGTGCTCATACTGGTAATCCTAATCTTTGTTCAAACACACCATCATACTGGGAATTTACTGGTAATGTTACAGCTTCTCATAGCAGAAAATTGCTAGAACAGATTTATTTGTATTTTTGAAAAGGTCCTGTTCACACACATGATCTCTAAATGGTAATTTACCAGTAAAGACTGCATGTGGGAAAGGGGCTAGTATGCATGCATTGATAATGCTGTGCAAGAGTTAATGGTTTATACATCCTGCCTGTGTACCTCACAGGGTGGAGTGTATTATAGTTGCGAATGATGCTACTGTCAAAGGTGGAACCTATTATCCGGTTACTGTGAAGAAGCACCTGCGTGCCCAAGAGATTGCACAGCAAAACCATCTACCATGCATATACCTGGGTGAGTTCTTTCAGAGGTTTCAAATTCTGTACAGAACAACATTTTTATATGAATGCTTTCATTTTTTATGTTAGGTGTTGAGATTTACTCAGTCTGATCTGTTTTTCTATAGTGGATTCTGGAGGAGCCAATTTACCCAGACAGGCCGATGTGTTCCCAGACAGAGATCACTTTGGACGCATCTTCTTCAACCAGGCCCGCCTTTCCTCGGAGGGAACTGCACAGGTCTTTTTTATGTGAAATTTCTATTTACATATTAGCCTGTGGTAGTCAACCCTCAGTAACTATTGTTTTTTATGGATCTTCTGGAATCAGTAGTTGAATTTAATATATCAACGATATCAGTTTCTGTTTAAGAGTCATGAAACCCCCTGTTTCAGCAGCAGTTAGTTCTCACCACAGTTTAAAAAAAATTCTACAAAAGTGGGTGTGGTTACGCTGTGGAGTGGAAGGGAAAGAGGGGAGACAGTATTATTTCACTCTCATTAAAAGCATCACAGCTTCCCACAAATGCACGCTGCAAAGTACCATTACATGCAACAAAATATACACATGGTTTTGTAAGCCCACCGTAAATTACACCAATATATACATATTCTGTGACAGCTAAAATTGAATGCACAAATAAATGCACAGCCATTCGCATTTGTTATCTGCATTGAAAATGTATATATATATATAGCAGCATTTTTATAAGCCGTTTGATTGGTTAAAGGAACATTTTTTCAAAGATTCAGGGTCTATTGAAAAGAACTTACCCAGAAACTCTTGCAAAGCGAAAACAAACACTTGTTTTTGATCCATCAATGCATCTCTCACTTACTCTATGCGATCATCTCACTGTTTGAAGTGCATGTCATAGGAAATCAACGCGTCTTGAATAATTAAGCAAGGCGTCTTCTCATAGAATAAGGACGTGCAGTCTCATGAATAATTATGAGACACCGATGACAATGTACACGAAGACTAATTTAAACCCGGAAGCTGAAAATAGCGCAAAAAGGTTTAAAAAATAACTAGTTTTCTTCTATAATCAAAACTAATGGATTGTAGCATTGACTTCTATGATGTTCAACACGCATTACTGCTAAAAATTTGGTTTAGTGTTTCATGACCCTTTAATAAAGAAGTTTAAAAAAAAAAACAGCGTTGTCATAATTGCAGAAAAAAAGTTTCCTTTTGCTTAACTGTATATATAACAATGTGACGCTTTTAAAAACAAAAAGGCTGAGAAACATTGATACTTATAAGCCATTTGCATTTGTGTATAT